CGTCTAAGGCTTTCCTAAATAAAACTCCAGAATTAATGTTTCTTAAACTTAAAGGCAATAAATTAAAAATCGAGGCACCTAAAAAATAAAAGCTACGGCACGCAAAATCCAGTCTGACTTTTGATAGTTTTGCAGTTGACAGTTGACCTCTGATAACAGTTTATTATGAGAACTACCTCAGCGCCTATACCGAGGAGTAACTGTCGAACAGTTACCCAGTGACAATTCCGGAACGGGCCGGGGAAGGAGATTACACGGTGATTGACTAGATTCCCTTCTAAAGAGGGTAGGAAAAGTTAGCCCCTTCAAGTTATAAGAACTGAAATTAATCACCGGCATAGGAATGGACTTTAAGTTATACAATGATGATGACAACGACGACGATGAAGATGACGATGAGGTAAAGCCGAACATGATCAATGCTAGCCAGTCCCTGATCGACCATGAACTCTCCTATTCCCGCGCATAGGGACTGAACCCAGGCAGGAGAGGAGAGAGTCTGGGATAACGTGCTTGCGCATACTCAGAACGCCGCTATTTCTCCCCTCAAATCAGGGGAAGACCATGTATATCTATGGCAGAATGTTTAGAAGCGCGAGCGCCTTGTGGCCATCTCTAGCTATTAATTACAAGCAGAAACTTTCAAAAAGCTTAACCTGCTAAAAGCTAACAACCAAAACAGTAATTTGTTATCCGCTATCTGGACGTAATTCATGATGAAAAAATAGTTGTACTTACTTTTGCCTCTTTCAGGCTTTCACTTACTTCGGCGCAGCGCGAAAAACGGCGAGCGAAAAAAAGGAGAGAGAGTGGCTTGGTGGACCGCGCTTCTGCCCTATTTTTTCTCTCGCCGTTGTTTGCGTTGCGCTTCAACTAACTGAACGCCTGGAAAAGGCTATACTGACTTGCTAGAGTTCCACACTCTCTGAAATGACAAACATTTTAGGTTCGAACTACGCAGGTAACTGCTTGTAAATTCAGTGTTTTTTCGGTTAGTCGTGTGTGGATAGGGTTATTTTTTTTAAGGGTGTTTCGGACCATTCCGGCATTCCTGGTCTTATTGCATGCTCATTAAAAATAGATGTAGGCGTTCTTGGTCCCATGGTTGATCGTAGTTGAACATGATGAATTCGTCATTTGAACGAGCAATTTAAATCCTAGCGCATGTATCTACACCACACTCTTATTAATCTATTGGTTCGCTGTGAATATGTGCAGGCAAATTATTCTGAATTCACCGTCGGACTCACCTGGACTATCTCTTCTCCCGCTTGGGTTAAACCCCCATGATACACAGCGGGGAAGGAAGAGTGGACTATATCAGTGCGCTTTCTACTTTGCTTTTTTTCAAGCGTTGAGGCTAAATTTTTTCATAAAGTTTGAATCTTGTCTCCTTTTTGTCGGCTATTTCGTTTGAAGTCGACCAGCGAGAAGGTTATTTTAAATTGGATCATAACGAGGTATGCGCAGAAGAACAGCCTGAAGTTGCGTTGTTTGAGAAAAAGTTAAAACATATGTAACAACTAACAACCTGATAAACCTGACTCAATTTATATTAGAAAGTAAAAACACTTCAATTTTAAATAAAAATGCAATTTAGTTTAAAAAATGTTGATTTGTTTTAGAAGGGCGCAGCTGGATGTTTTACCCCCTGGGATCATCAGAGCATTAGTAATTATTTTCCCGCCTGTACTAATCGATGATGTCATCCATCAATTCAATATTCTGGTCATCAATTCCGGAACAAAAATATTTGTCCAGCCATTAGTCTCAAATGTATGTGGCAAAAATATTTAAGTGAGGAGATCTAGACTGCAAGCTTGTTTTCATTTTCTAGGAAAAAGAAATGCAGTTAATGAACAGATCGGAAGTCCCATTGAGGGCATCTCACCTTCAGTAACAACAGGAGGTCCGAAAATACCTACGGAGTTATTCCTTGGGTCACGCAAACTGCATTTGGAAAAGAGGAAAGAAAATATTAATTTTTCCAAGGCCAACGTTGTAAACCTTAAGAAATATAGGTGTCAGGAAGACGAGAGAGTGGAAAACAGAAAGAAAATTCGAGAAACGCCGGAGTGCTTTGGGAGTGGACTTTTCAAGTGTGTTAAATGAAGTGAAAATAGTCTAGGACTGGGGCGAGCGTTCCCTCTGCATGGTCGCCTGCAAGAAAGTTGCGTCCAGTGTTGAGATTTCGCAGCGTGAAAAAATCGCATAAATGTGGTCCGATTCCTCGCTACAATGGCAGAGAAGGACCTTTCACCACTTACACAGAATGTTGTCCGTGGACTGAACGACAAACTTTATGAAAAACGCAAAACAGCAGCTCTAGAAATAGAACGGTAGGTCCACTTCGTTAAAATGTTGGCGCATGCATTATGATTCGTACTACATGTGTGTTGGCGATCGTATTGTTATATGCCGTAAATATTACACCTTCGATTGTTTTGATTATACTACAAGAATTCTTGCTCAATTTGTAACGATGCTAGTGCAGTAACCTTCTTGCAGGGAGACAGGTTTTTAGCAAACAACGTTTGAACTTGTACCTGAACCCACATGTAAGGTTAAGCTTACATGTACATGTTGTGTGAGGTTCATTAGTCTTCTGGCGTCTTAAAAAACTGCGAATGTGTCTTGTTCACTCGCCTATTTACCCAGCGATCTCTGTGTTCTGTTTTATAAGGATGGTAAAAGAGTTTGTGGCCAATAATGACGTGAGACAAATTAAACGGCTGACGTCTGTGCTTGCTGAGGAATTTGCAGTTTCACACAACAATCACTCAAGAAAGGGAGGCCTTATTGGACTCGCTGCTACAGCTATTGCTCTGGGAAAGGTAGAGCTCCTTTGAACACTTATTTTGATCACTGCTGGTGGGTGATACAGCTGTAGCAATCAATAATAATTAGTCAATAAATAACATGTAAGGTTTAAAAAACAAATAATGTACAGATAAGTGAGTTTTGAACTTCTACAGGTGCAGTGATGTCAATTTTCGTCAATTAACATATCAGCTCAAGGGACTGGGGTGTCTGGAAAACCTGAATTGCGAATAGCGAATAGTCACGAATAGTCCCGAATAGTGCGAATAGTCTCGAATAGTGTGAATAGTGGCAAAAGGTGGCGAATAGTGACGAAGAGTCGTCAATAGTCACCGCTTTAGGTCTAATATCCTGCGTTAATTAATTATCCAAATAAGCCACAGAATTTCAGTGAATTTATTACCTTTTCTTCTCTGGACTCAGGCTCGGGCTGCCCATCGCCAACATTAACAAAACAGAGAACACAAGGATACCTAATAAAGATGCACTTATGTTTTTGCAGCGGTTAAAACAGAAGAAATTACGTTAAGAAACACCTTTTGTCCTGNTCAATAGTCACCGCTTTAGGTCTAATATCCTGCGTTAATTAATTATCCAGATAAGCCACAGAATTTCAGTGAATTTATTACCTTTTCTTCTCTGGACTCAGGCTCGGGCTGCCCATCGCCGACATTAACAAGACAGAGAACACAAGGATACCTAATAAAGACGTATTTATGCTTTTGCAGCAGTTAAAACAGAAGAAATTATGTTAAGAAACACCTTTTGTCCTGATAAGCATCTGTGCTTTTTAGTGGGAAAATCCTGTCTTACATTGCTGCGAGGTTGAGTATGAGATACTGGGTTCCCTATTTGCTATGATTTGCCACTAATGTGCCACTATTTGCCACTATTTGCCACTATTCGAGACTGTGCACCACTATTCGCACTATTCGAGACTATTCGTACTATTTGCTATTTACTATTCGGGACTAATTGCTGTTCACTATTCGCGACTATTCGCTATTCGCTATTCGGGTTTTCCAGACACCCCAAGGGACTGTGTCTTTTTCCCTTTACAAAAATAGTTCTGGAAATTGCGATTGAGACTTAAGGTGGCCTACTAAAGTTTTTCTGAGACTAAGTAGCGCACATTACCATTGCCTGCCAGATGTCAGTATTGATGCGTGCAAAAATGACGTAAGTAACCCTAAGAAGAAACAAAAACCACCACAGCACTTGAAAGGCATTAAATCACTTTGGTATGTGTAGCAATAGTTTCAAATGCTGTTCAAACATGTGTTTAAACCTAGGGCTAAAAAAATATGGCAAAAAAGCTCATACATTGTAAATAAGTGGTAAAAGAGCTTGAATTTACTCTTGCTTTCTTGCAAACGATACATGGCGTCACATAAGCGCGTGTAAATAAAGGGCGTGTACAATTCAATTCTTGTCCAAGGTTGTAAAAGCTAGTCTTTGATTGAGGATTGCTCAAAAACCTACCGTATAACCCATGATGAGATTTTCACATTCGATTTGCAGGGGTGAATCGCATTTAGAGCCAAAATTTTTAAAAAAAATACATAAGACAGATTTTGAGCTATTTTTGATCTCTCATTTTCTTAGTTTTCAGAAAATCTGTCGTACAGATTTTATTTTACTTTGCATGAATGTTAAATCAGAGCAAATTTCTCATT